CAGTCAAGGACCAGGTAATCAGACTGAGGAAGGGTGATGGGGAATTCACAAGAAACGACCAAGAGGTATGTCAGGAGCTCAACACAAGATTTAAAGAGGTAGTTACAGTGGAAATCAGTAGGACTCCAGGAAATCAGAACAGGGGGGCACACCAGCAAGTGCTGGATGAGGTACATATAACCAAGGAGGAGGTGAAGAAGCTGCTATGCGAACTTGACACCTCAAAGGCGGTGGGACCAGACAACATCTCTCCATGGGTCCTTAAAGAGGGAGCAGAGATATTGTGTGAGCCATTAACAAAGATCTTCAACACATCATTTGAAACTGGGCAACTCCCTGAGGTATGGAAAATGGCAAATGTAGTCCCAATTTTTAAAAAGGGAGACAGACATGAGGCACTAAACTACAGACCTGTATCACTAACGTGTATAGTATGCAAGATCATGGAGAAGATCATCAGGAGGAGAGTGGTGGGGCACCTGGAAAGAAACAAGTGTATAATTGACAACCAGCACGGTTTCAGGGAAGGAAAATCCTGTGTCACAAACCTACTAGAGTTTTATGACAAGGTGACAGAAGTAAGACAAGAGAGAGAGGGGTGGATCGACTGCATATTTTTGGACTGCAAGAAGGCCTTCGACACAGTTCCTCACAAGAGGTTACTGCAAAAGTTAGAGGATCAGGCACACATAACAGGAAAGGCACTGCAATGGATCAGAGAATATCTGACAGGGAGGCAACAACGAGTCATGGTACGCGATGAGGTGTCAGAGTGGGCGCCTGTGACAAGTGGGGTTCCACAGGGGTCAGTCCTAGGACCTGTGCTGTTCTTGGTATATGTGAACGACATAACGGAAGGGATAGACTCACAAGTGTCCTTGTTTGCAGATGATGCGAAGTTAATGAGAAGAATCAAATCGGATGAGGATCAGGCAGGACTACAAAGAGACCTGGACAGGCTACAAGCCTGGTCCAGCAACTGGCTCCTTGAATTTAACCCTGCCAAATGCAAAGTCATGAAGATTGGGGAAGGGCAAAGAAGACCGCAGACACAATATAGTTTAGATGGCTAAAGACTGCAAACCTCACTCAAGGAAAAAGATCTGGGGGTGAGTATAACACCGAGCATATCTCCTGAGGCGCACATCAATCAGATAACTGCTGCAGCATACGGGCGCCTGGCAAACCTACGGATAGCGTTCCGATACCTCAGTAAGGATTCGTTTAAGTCTCTGTATACCATTTACGTCAGGCCCATACTGGAGTATGCAGCACCAGTTTGGACTCCACACCTAGTCAAGCACGTCAAGAAATCAGAGAAAGTGCAAAGGTTTGCAACAAGACTAGTCCCAGAGCTACGGGGATTGTCCTACGAAGAAAGGTTGAGGGAAATCGGCCTGACGACACTGGAGGACAGGAGGGTCAGGGGAGACATGATAACGACATGTAAAATACTGCGCGGAATAGACAAGGTGGACAAAGACGGGATGTTCCAGAGAAGGGACACAGACACAAGAGGTGACAATTGGAAGTTGAAGACTCAGATGAATCAAAGGGGTGTTAGGAAGTATTTCTTCAGTCATAGAGTAGTCAGGCCGTGGAATAGCCTAGAAAGTGACGTAGTGGAGGCGGGAACCATACATAGTTTTAAGGCGAGGTATGATAGAGCTCATGGGGCAGGGAGAGAGAGGACCTAGTAGCAATCAGCGAAGAGGCGGGGCCAGGAGCTGTGAATCGACCCCTGCAACCACAAATAGGTGAGTACAAATAGGTGAGTACACACACACACACACACACACACACACACACACACACACACACACACACACACACACACACACACAACACATATATATATATATATATATATATATATATATATATATATATATATATATATATATATATATATATATAATATAATTCCTGAGAGCACAACTTTCTTGATGCAGTGAAAGGAACGCATCAAAAGACACATTGGCTTCTCGGAAGTCTGTTCGTACTAACATCAGACACAGGAATTCCTTGTGGTATGAATGCTAAGTGAACGTAGGTGAGGTTGTAGCATGCACAACGTACTGCTATGCAGGTGATGTAGCATGCATAACACACTACCGGTGTACGTACGTACGTAGCGATTGTAGGATAATTCGGGAGTCGGGGTAGCTTAATAGGAAAGGACAAAACTGGCTCAGTTTTGTAGAAAGTGTGCCAAGGGTCAGGGTCAGGTCAAGAGGCCAGGCACGAAGGTATTTCGTTCAACATTAGGTAATTACAACAGTACTATCATTTTAGTCTTCGCAGAATATACCTGGTTGGTATCCAGGCACAAGAGCTGAGTCACAACCGTTGCATGTTTTTGATTCAGCGGCAGTTAATGAGGCACTGAAGGGGTTTCCACAAGGGGAAGAGAAGGACTGATGAATGTCACCAAGCTGTTTAGTGAGAGAGAGAGAGAGAGAGAGAGAGAGAGAGAGGAGAGAGAGAAGAAGCAAGAGCCATCGAAAGATAGGTGTTGTAAATAGTAAATAGTAAGGGTGGTTTTTAAAATCCTTATGCTTTATCCACTTGTATCTAGTGATAAAAAAAAACTTAAGTACAGTACAACTATTTGTACATCTATCTTGAAGATGTTGTCGTGACTGTAAAACATGAAAGGAAGTGAGAGCGCTAGATAAAAAAAGAAAGCCAAGAGAAGAAAGGAATATGTCATATTATATATATAATATATATATATATATATATATATATATATAATATATATATATATATATATATATATATATATATATATATTAAAGTCCTTTCTAAATTTTCCTTATACGTTTATAGATATTTTTTTCATTTATGTTAATGTAAAAGTTAATAATTTTGTACCAAAAGAAATTTAGAAAACTTACCTAACCTTATTATAACAAGAGCAATTTAATTTAGCTTAATCCAAGTAAACATATTTTAGATAAGTTTACAATAATTTAATAATAAACAAACATGATAAATTTTTTTTTTTTCGTTAGGTTCAGAATGATTTTTTCATACACAAATTTTCGCTTGCCTTATTTAACAAGCAGAGTGTTGTTATTTAAGCCAAAATTCCCAAGTTTTACCTATTCGGCACAACATATATATTTATCAATGTACCGCGAAGAAGCAAGCGAAAGTATGAGCGAGACATTAGTGCTACAGTTGGATGGTTTTATTATTGAAGCGTTTCGCTTACGCGGTAGATTTCCTCAGTCAAATACAAAGAATGGATTGTAGGATAAGTGGCTGGGTTACAATGATGTAATCGGTCCATCAGTCTGTTGAAATAGTTTAAGGTGGTCAGTCCCTCAGCCTGGAGAAGAGATCAGCTCCATGGTCTGGAACATATGAAACTGAAGCATAAGAATGGAGCCTTGAATACTGCCGAAGGTGATGCATGGAAGATCTCGAAGACATTGCAAGAGACAGGGTCCACTAGTAGAAACAGGAAGGCAAGGACTGAAGGAGTACTGCAACAAGCTTACTCATACAGAGGATATCTTCCACAACTTCATTGCTTAATACTAGTTATGATTGGGAAAAGTTGGTTTCCAGAGGAGTTCGGTCGTTAGGCAGCCTGTTTGACGTAGCCTGTTGCTGAGTGATTTAAGGCGTCAGATTGGGAACTAAACCACACTCGTGGGCAGCTTCCAACGTGGGTTCGATTCCTCCTGGTTACGATATATATATATATATATATATATATATATATATATATATATATATATATATATATATATATATATATATATATAAAATATATATGCAAAACAACCACTCTGAAAGAATAGAGAAATTCCAAGCGCTTTCGTGACTACTCACATTATCAAGGATAATGTGAGTAGTCACGAAAGCGCTTGGAATTTCTCTATTCTTTCAGAGTGGTTGTTTTGCATATTTTGAAATCACCTGTTTACTGTGATCTTATTGCATATATATATATATATATATATATATATATATATATATATATATAATATATATATATATCGTAACCTCGGTGAGACTGGCGACTTGTGAAAAAAAAAAAAAAAAAAAAAAAAATATTATATATATATATATATATATATATATATATATATATATGTATGTATATGTATAACGCAATACTCCAAATCGATTACAGGAAGACTGTTAACGTAATATTCTACCCAAGGTTGCAATGGCTGGACTTTTAATGATGAACTTTATTTTTATTTAACACAACATCTTTACAAGATGTATTATTCCTATATAGCAGAACAATTAATTTTCTTTAAGTGTCTCCCTTAATATGCATTTTGTAAAACATATGTTACGGATGTATGTCATTTCCTCGGTTTTTCCCAGCATGTGTCGCCTTAAGTCTCTCCTCCCGCAGGAGGAAACAAGAAGTGAAGTTCCTTCACCGTCGAAGCCTTCGTCAGGAATTCTCCTCCGGGTACCTGTGATGCTCAGCGCCACAATGCCCTTCGAGACTCGTCCTCACAGGTCAGGCTCCAAAGGGTCATTATTTTACAAAGTGAGAAGGTAAGCTGTTACATGTAGAGAGTGAAGAGTGACGTCAGTGGTTGTGGGCTGAGTCAGTCGGGAAACAAGGGGGTGCTCGAGCTGGTCACCTTGGGGGATGCCTTATGGAGGTGCTGACTGGTGTGCTGTAGTTCGGAGAATTTTACCTTCTTGTTTTCTTTCGTAACCGACATGTATTGCATACTTGTGACTGACCAAAGATATCCTACTCTTCATTCTTTACATACTGTGAGTACTAACAACGTATTTCTGTTATTAGATACGAATAAAAAACAGTAGGCTTTTAGGGCACTCCTTGACATCTTAAGATAGCTTAGAAAAACAGCTACGTGGGCATGAGAGCCGTAGGTCGCCCCCTGCCCGGGCGAAAGGAAGTGGGAGTGTACGAAGGTCAGTGAGACAGCGAGAGAGAGAGGGTCACGCCCTGGCGAGGCTTGCTGGGTGGCTGGCGACGGTACCCTGCCAGAGCACGAAGAGCGGCCGCTACCATCACTTGTGCCACTTCTCCTGGGGATACCAAGTAAGACCAACCTCCTTCTGGTTTGCCTGGCCACGGCTCATACCTTCTTTAGCCAACGGTTATTTACACTTATGTTATAACTGTATTTTAATTAGGAATGATCTTAATTAAGATTACGTCGTATATTGTGCACTTAGTAGTTACGTAACGGAATATTCTTATATCCGAGCTAAAAACAAATCTACAAAGATCATATACTGTACGCATAAACTCAGAAAATAATTACCTCATTAAAGCACCCTGAATGTACGACATACAGAAAAACGATATCTCATAATTTATACTTTTGATACCTAATCTATCAACTAAAATATCTTAAATGAATGAAAGATATAGAACAGTTGAAAAGTAGCTGTGTCTTAGGCTAACAATTAGAGAACAGTTTGTCAACATTGATGGTCCAGCACTTCAACCTTCTACCAGTAGACATAAATAAATTGCTAGAACAAAGCTAGAAGTACTCAAGAGGAAAGTGGACAAGTCAACATTTGGGACAATGCAGGCTGCAAGTAGCAACAAGATAATCGGCCCAGGGGATGAACTGAGGAACTTGGCCACAGGCCAGGCTCCAGAATAGTAGGATCGGGTAGTCAACAGGGAAGCTTGGCCACAGGCCAGGCTCCTGGAGTAGAATTGTCAAAACCTGTCAGGTATGTTAGAGAGTAAGGCGTACATTACAAGAGACTGGCTGGTAGGTGACACCTGGACCTATTTTACCGTCCAGGTTACATCTCCCTCTTCAACAACCGCTACATTTAAATAAAAAAAAGATAATATAACTTTGGTCTGACATGACGAATTGTTTGCAGGTTATGCAATTAATCTGTGTATCTTAACCAAAGTATGTCTACCTACCCTACTCGAAAGCGAATATTCACACCCGACTAGAAATGGGTGTAGGGGCTGAGCTCTAACTCCTGAGCCCAGCCTTCCCACTCTTATTTCTTGGTGAAGTCCTGTTCTTCAGGACTCTTGTCATACTTTTTAATATATACATCTTGTATCATGTGCGTATCGGTTGTTCCTGCCTATCTAATATGCTATCTCCCCCATGGGCTACATTTAGCTTTGCACTTTGGGGGTAAAGGGGCGAACAGGCGCAACGAGTGAAGCAGGAGAGGTATATGCCAGCGTGGGCGCTGGTGAGTGGGCAGCGAGTGGGCATGAAATAGGCTTGAAGGTTGCCCACCTGCTACCTGCCGCACCTGTCATCATCTACCTCATTACCCCCCTCACAGGTACTCTCAACACACCAACAATAACATGGATACACGTGGATTATTGTGAAATCTGGCTGGACGAGTGAAAATTTCAGCTGGATTTGTGGTTAAAAAGTGATAGTTAAAGAAGTGTGAAAGAGAATTGGGGTGACGGCCGTGATCGCTGAAAGCGACGCCCACGAGCTGATCTCCCCCGCCCGCGAGGACGCGCCCTCTGGCCTTTAGCTGCCACGGTGTTCTCCTTCGTGAGGGCAAGTAGTGGTTCTGGAGAGTGACATGAGGCGCTCTTGTGATGATTACCTCATGATAAAAGGCAGTTTAGTGTTATTGTGACTCACCAGCTTCAGATCAAATTAAATCTGTACGCTTTGAACTTTGGCGTTTCCCAGGGTGATGGTGACATCATGAGTACGTGCACTCGTATTATATATCTATACACACACAGACACACATACACTCTCTCTCTCTATCTCACTCTCTCAAGATGACACGATACGAGACGGACCAAGATTACAGAAGTTGCAAGAGAACGGTATGAGCAAGGGCTTTAAGGGGTCAGATTAGGAAACTCTGAGCTATGAAATGCAACGAAGGTTGTGATAGTATTTTGTTTGTGGATCTAAATCATATGATGACCAGCTTACTGAAAGTTTTGGCCATCTGACTGAGGCCTTTCGCTGGCTTACTCGTCGATCCCGTGAAAAAATGAATGTTACGGGTAGGTCATTTGTGAAACCTGATGTTTGAAAGGGAACACCTGAGCTGGTCCATTAGGAAACATTGGAGCACTAAGGGATTTCGTGAAACTTTTAGAACAATACAACATTGTAAAAGTTGAACTCGGAACAAAGGACAATTTTTCTCGAAGAAATTAATATGGAAATTAAACTTGTTGAGATCACTACTTACGAAGTCGTTTAAATCTTTATTAATCAAAGCTAAACATTTTATTTGCAAAATTCCTTGACGGGTGCTGATTGGACGACTGGGTAGCCGGCTACCACATCTCAGCCCCTCATTGGCTGGCTATGATGTAGTATCTTGTTGCTGGTTGGTTATTGGTTAACCTTGACTTCAGTGCCCTGCTAGGCGGCCTCTCACTGGCTGACTTTTTTGCTGAAGAATCTCTCTCTCTCTCTCTCTCTCTCTCTCTCTTCTCTCTCTCTCTCTCTCTCTCTCTCTCTCTCTCTCTCGCACATGACTGTTACATCTGTAATATGCATGAATCCCCCAATCCAGTAAAATGTATGCCTCAAAAGCTTTTTTCCCCCTGCTTCATATTCTTTTTCTAGTGATACGAGAGAGAGGTAACTGATTGGCTCTCAGGTCGCTAGTGATAGGAGAGGGAGGTAACTGATTGGCTCTCAGGTCGCTAGTGATAGGAGAGGGAGGTAAATGATTGGCTATCAGGTCGCTAGTGATAGGAGAAGGAGGTAACTGATTGGCTCTCAGCTCGCTAGTGATAGGAGAGGGAGGTAACTGATTGGCTCTCAGGTCGCTAGTGATAGGAGAGGGAGGTAACTGACTGGCTCTCAGGTCGCTAGTGATAGGAGAGAGAGGTAACTGATTGGCTCTCAGGTCGCTAGTGATAGGAGAGGGAGGTAACTGATTGGCTCTCAGGTCGCTAGTGATAGGAGAGGGAGGTAACTGATTGGCTCTCAGGTCGCTAGTGATAGGAGAGGGAGGTAACTGATGGCTCTAGTCGCTAGTGATAGGAGAGGGAGGTAACTGATTGGCTCTCAGGTCGCTAGTGATAGGAGAGGGAGGTAACTGATGCTCCAGGTCGCTAGTGATAGGAGAGGAGTAACTGATTGGCTCTCAGGTCGCTAGTGATAGGAGAGGGAGGTAAATGATTGGCTCTCAGGTTGCTAGTGATAGGAGAGAGAGGTAACTGATTGGCTCTCAGGTCGCTAGTGATAGGAGAGGGAGGTAACTGATTGGCTCTCAGGTCGCTAGTGATAGGAGAGGGAGGTAACTGATTGGCTCTCAGGTCGCTAGTGATAGGAGAGGGAGGTAACTGATTGGCTCTCAGTTTGCTAGTGATAGGAGAGGGAGGTAACTGATTGGCTCTCAGGTCGCTAGTGATAGGAGAGGGAGGTAAATGATTGGCTCTCAGGTCGCTAGTGATAGGAGAAGGAGGTAACTGATTGGCTCTCAGCTCGCTAGTGATAGGAGAGCGAGGTAACTGATTGGCTCTCAGCTCGCTAGTGATAGGAGAGAGAGGTAACTGATTGACTCTCAGTTTGCTAGTGATAGGAGAGGGAGGTATATGATTGGCTCTCAGCTCGCTAGTGATAGGAGAGCGAGGTAACTGATTGGCTCTCAGCTCGCTAGTGATAGGAGAGAGAGGTAACTGATTGGCTCTCAGTTTGCTAGTGATAGGAGAGGGAGTTATATAATTGGCTCTCAGCTCGCTAGTGATAAAAGAGGGAGGTATATGATTGGTCTCCGTTGCTCGTGACTGGAAAGAGAAGCGTCTGATTGGCTCTCCGGCAGTTTAGGGTTGGCCAACAAGGTACATGAAGTTTGTCTCTTTACATGACGAAATTTTATTTGGAAAATTAGAATTTGATTTTCTTGAAGTGTCTTTACATTTCTGTATCTCAATATATCATAAAATGATGCCTCATTTCTCAAAAAATACACCGACTTACAAATATATTGTCCAAATATTGACTTGCACTCTAAACCATAAATTATATCAATAACCAGCGAAATGTATGGGATAATTACCGAATGACTAAATAAATGCATAAAATAACAGATAAACAACATTAAAAATACCAAAAGATAATAGGGGAATAATACCCAAAAACATTAGAAAAAAATTCTCTTATTTATAAAACTTTTGTTCATAAAATTTCACATATAATTGCCCCTGAAGAAGTTCAATATTTAAAAGCAACTTAATATCTGAACAGTCTTATTCAAGTTACTAAAAACCGCATAGGTTACGTAGCCTATTATTGAGTGTGATAGCTGTGCAAGGCTGTAATATACCGGTGTTCTGTAATGTACCCTGTCACTACCCTGGCAGCCTGCAATAACAGCGTCATGGTGCAAGCCCAAGGCAGTCCATGCAATGCCACCAGCTAAAAACAGATCCTGTCAATCGTGTTTTTAGACTATAATTTGGGTTTTTCATACAAGATGTTCCCACTTAATCTGTCCAGCCTTGCTTAATTGTGGGTAGTAGGCTACGTTTTTGGTTTATCGTTGTATCATTGCAGTAACATATTTACTATTTTTTACCGAAAGGTATCCATGATATGGTATACTGGTGCTCGAAATTGTATTTTTTTTTTATAATGGCAAGCCTACTGCCATTGCTGTGTTAAAATTACACTCATACTGTAATTTCATCAGTGAATTTGTTAAAAAATTCCCGAAACATTCAATTGCATTCATTTGTGTTAATTATGGTGCAGCTCTAGTGTAACTGTCACAAGATAGAGCACAATGTGTGATTGCACAAGCTTTTGTCAAAATACAAAACAATGACTTGCAGCTAAAATACTTTAGCAGCCGCTATTTACTTTATAAAGTATGAGTTTATAGCGCCATAACAAGTCAAGAACCATCTTATGATTTCTCAGCCATACAAATGTGTGTTCTTAATGAGCTGCGTCCAGCAGCTTGTGATACATTAGCACGAATTCAAGTGAAATTTAGAGAGCACTGAGAATGAACAAAACATGACATCACTTAAATTTTCCCTTCCTCCGCCTCCAGTAAATTAGTTATGTAAATTTTTGGTATGCTTTCTTTTACTCGGCATCA